CATACATACGCAAGCATTGGATATCATGCTATTCCATCCCATCCTAATCCATTCATCAATCATATCATATCATATCATACCTACCCAAAGGCAAATTTTCCAATATCAAAAATTTGCCTCTGCTATTTTCCATGCATGCTCCCCTTCCCAGGCTATCTGACATTATCTCATAGTCCCAATTCAACCATCCATCTGCCCATTCAATCCCCTGCCCACATTTCTGAAAAATTTACCAAGCATTTCCGTGACTATCATAGGATAGCTGCGAAGCGGCACCCGTCTTGTTCTCTACGTCTTGTTTCGGCATAATCTTATGCATATGTTTCGGATTCATGAACCCTGCGTTGTTTAATTCCCCCATTTCCACGTCCTCATTATGATGCACCTCAATGCCATCCTCTAAACCATTTGCCCAGGACTTTGCAGGTGCAGAAGTAGGTACTTCGACTTCTGTCAATTCTCTATGCACTGCCCCCACCAAATCTATCACATCCGAACTTCGTACGTAGCCGAGATAATAAGGAGTGCCACTTGCACCAGCAGCTTCATGTTCGAAGATTCTTCGACGATCACGCACCTCCGTCACATATTCGTCATTATACTCTCTCCAAATATCATTCTCGAAATCGTAGATGTAGATCCAATAATGACCACCACCAGCTTCACCACGATGAATAAATACAGTTTGAAGCTTATATTCGTACTTGGTCATATTCGTGAATTGTTCATTTCTTCTTTGCTTGAGAAGTTGGATTTCTTCGTTGTTTCTTTCAATTTCCTGGTTCAATTCAGCTTGGCGTTCTTCAAGCAATGTGACCAAGTTTGCGTCAACTTCGATGTCGTCCATCTCCTGCAGCCCTCTAGTAAAGTTCTGTGCTGCAGATAGTGCATCACAAACAGATATTTCTTCTGTTCCTTTGTCCTGGCCGAGGACTCTTTGCCGCTCTTCCAAAGTATTAATACGTGCCTTCCATTTCCATGCTTCTTGACGACGACGCATCAAAGTAGAGTCAGGATCTTCGGAATCCATGTATCTATCAAGATATATCGTTTCTGGAAATATTACCGCGTTTCGATTTTTATAAGCAGTATGCTTGATATTGTCATAACGTGTACGTTGGATTTGTACTTGTAAGATTGGGGGTAGTTTGGTGATAGATGCGTATTGCGGTTGAATAGTACCATCGATATGTACCTGTTGTTCGTCGAAGACCACATCCAATGCTTCATAAATGTCTCGAGATTTGTTTTCATCCGGAAAAATAATGAGATTAGCCCATGGTTCAACTTTCTTCTCTAACCTTTCCGACTTTCGAAGATAAGAGGCATTTGCACCATAAAAAGTGTCTCTGATTTTATCGATTTGCTCACCAGACACAGGATCGATGCTTGTCGGCTTTATAGCACACTGTAAACGAAACATCACGTTTCCGATAACCTCGGTAACATCTTGCTGAGATCCAAATTTCCATAGATCGTCGTCAGTAATGACTTCTTTCTGGTCATTTGTCTCTATAGAAAGGCCAGCTTTGTTTCTCGGAGGAATCGGAGGTGGCTTGTCTGGCGCGGCTGTTATGACATCCGGAGTTTGAACTACTGAATCGCCATTGACCATGACAGCATCATCGAAGGTACTATCGGCATCCTCTGATTTGTCCCAGGCCTTGTCTGCTGCGGGACTCGGTCTACCTACAACATCAGAATACGGAGGTAAACCATCCATGTCTGGTGCCTCTACCAATGTGCCTTCACTACTATCATCACGCTGATTTGAGTCTTTATCTTCAGGTCGGTCAACCATCTCAATATCCTCGTCGGCTGAAGTTGGAGGAGGAAAAGTAGTTGTCGGAGGACCTTCCGGCCCCAAAATAGGGTTCATCATGGAAGCAATATTTGATGGAGCACTTGGACTACTAATAGAAACTCGACGGAAATTTGCTTCGGCTGCTGAGCTGAATATAGTCAATTCGGCCAACTCTCTAGTAGGCTTGATGGATCTTGTTGAGGCAGTCTTCAAATTTTCGAACAGGTCGTGTAATTCCGTCACAACTAAATATAATTAGCCAAGCTATTTGTCCAAGGAATTTGACACTCACATTTCTGGGCTTTGATAATTTCCGCCTTACTGACAGCACGTCCTCCAACACGCTTCTTCTTGATATCCTCTTCATTCAGAGGCATGCGAATCTGTTCAAAGTTCATGGCTACCTCTCGAACGGCTTTTACTGTATAGTAATACTGCAGAAGACTGTTTAGATAGCATGTATTGCCAATATTATCTAGACCAATTGGCTGATTAACGGTTGACTTTTCTGCTTGAATGTCGGCGTTTGGATCATCAAGTTTCCTCAATAAGTAACTGCTCTGACGATCATGAGCTATTACCCGGAATGCTTCCTTGTAACTGTCAGATGAACCAGTAGGAGCACCAGATCTGAGACTTTCGTAATAAGCCAGCACAGTATCATCTGGGGCCCCCCTATCGGTGATTTGAAGCCGATTATAAGCTTCACCAACGTCAAGGTTTGAATCTTCAATTCCAGACTCCATGGACGTAGCCGCACGCTGCAAGGTGTAGTCGTCTCCCCGGTTATTAGCAATCGCTCTTAAAGCTTTTGCGACTTTATCCTTATCGCCCTCAAAAGACTACATCGGAGTTAGTTGGGAATCTTTAAATGATCGTTAATTCATGACTATACACATACCATAGCAACGGCAGCAGCTTCAATGCTATCAGATGCAGTATCTGAAGTCACGCTTAGGAACTCGAGAGCTTCTTCAAATGTCATTGTGCTATCATTCGCTACGGCTTCAATAGCAATGCTCTGCCTATCCTTTGCTATCACGCGCAGACATTCGCGTGCCTCATCTTTTTGGCGCGGTCCAGATTCGATACGAGACTTGTAAACACCGATAAAAAAGTCATCGCCCTCAGATCTGGTGATATTTCTCTGCAGCGCGAAGAACGAGTAAGCTTTTTCGATGTCTTTTAGGCTGACTTCTCCGGTAGACATGATCATCGTAGCCTTCGTTTGTAGATCGGAACTGCGGCGTCCGTTGCCGAGCTCCCGCAAGCAGTCCAAATAGTATGGCTTATTCACCGGATCGCATTGACATTGACGATCATAGCTCCAGGCTAACAAATCATCTGTAAATAGCTCGATTGCGCCTAAACTGGCATAATAAGGGTGCTCCAACGAATCTACGACTTGGACAGCATCTCGCTTTGGATAGTCATCGCAAGAAAGTAATCGTCTGATATCATCCAGAGCATAGGGGGGAGAAAATGCTTTTTCACTTGAAGACTTGAGCTCCTTAAGCTCCATATCTGGTCGATCAAGCATGAGCTGGTTGAGCTCAAACCTGACATCGTCTATGAATTCGCGATTCCCGTCATTGACGACAGGCAAAGTCCAAAACCCTTCATATTCCTCCTAAAACGAAAGTTAGTGATGCGAATGAATTGTAGAGGGGATTTGGCAAGCTGAATCCTGAACCATAATTTGTATTATGTCGGTGAGATACATACCTGAGAATTAGATGATGCCCTCAGCTCGGATTTGAATCCTAGATAACCTAGTAGAGCGTCGCAATCGTCTCCGAATGCTAATCTGAACCTTTTATTTCTGGCTGCAATAGCCTTTCTATCCGCACCTCCTGCGTCTCTTAAATACTGACAAAGGTTACTAAGAACCTGAAACGGGTATATGGGCCTGTGTCCTGTGAATCTTAGGGGTTCTTTTTCAATTATTCTCTGCCCACGACTCAGAGTATCTTGGACATTTATTAAGGGAGCTATCATGGCAGCGGAGAGCCTAGGTGGTGTTATTTTGATAACAACTTTGACTGGACAGGTAGCCGCAGTGCAAGCAAATTCATGCGCCGCGAATTCAAAGATCTTTTTTGAGTTCTGCGACGATCTGGTCTCAACTACCCGAAAGTGATGGAGTGGATTTTCGAGGTCCTTAGGACTACAAGGAGTTTGTCCATCTTTCCAGCCTCGGAAATCTACAGTTATCCGAAAATGATATCGGCAAAGGGAACAGTACGCGGCTATCTTGCGGATCGTTGTGGGATCTGCTTCATCATGTGGGCGTAGAGCATCTGTTTGAGAATCCTTTCTAAAAAGCAGATGGCGACAATTGGAGGCATGAAGCCTTGGGTCAATATTGGATTCGTTGTATATTGGCGCTGGTTCTATGAGAGTGTGCTTGCCGGACTTTGCGCTTTTTCTTAAATCATAGTCAAGTAGATCTTCCACTAACCTAGGGGCCGTTTTCCCTACATTGGCAGAATCATTAGCTCAGTTCTAGTATATTCGAGAGCTTTGAACTATCTCAAGCTCGAAAGAAAATAAGTCACAGAACTTGCCTGGTCCTGGTTTCTTCTCGTAGTCAAACATAGCACCTCTCAATAATTATCTATCGCCCACTCTGCCTGCCGATACTTTGTGATTTATGGCCAGCTGAAATATTCTGGACTTGCTTAGCTACCCCGCCTCTCGAAAGGTTGTAAAAGGTGAATTGATATTGAGGCTGGAAGGATCAATATATTGACTTGCATGCGAAACGATTTCTTGAGAGAAACAATTGAAGATGAGTAGAAACTTTGTGCCAATCCAGGTACTAAATGTAAGTTTGGTTGTTTGATTGTGTAATGGTGAGTGATTGATTCTCCAAATTTGGCTAGGAGGAACACAAGCAACAAAAGAATAGGAACGCGAGCATCGACAAGTTTTATGATTTTAAAGGAAAACAGAAATATTTGTACAATTTCTCATCAACTGTGTTGGCTCAATATGTATTTATTTGTAAGTATTTCTCATCTAAACAGGCACGGGTGAAGGTTGATGGGATTATCTGCCGCCTTGCATTTTTGTTGCTTGAGAGCTTAGATGATGGCGATGACGGAAATAATTGGATGGCGGCTAGTAAGCACAAGCAGCGTTTATGGCGGCATGTTCCGTCCAAATTCCCCGAATCTATCAACCTCATACCGACGCCATAGCAACTTCTTAGATTTTTAAGTTCCATCATTGACGTTCCGTATTGTCTCAACATGGCACCGAATAGTGAAGCATACCACCCCCAAGATGCCCTCAAAGCAGGCATCAACGGCGCACTGATTACAGGAACGGCTGGTGCTTTTGCTTCCGCGATTCAAAATAGTTTGCACAAGAAGAATATCGGCATGATGGGTGTCTTCACCAGGACAGGAGGCACAGCTTTCGTATTCAGTAAGCCCATTAAATCGAATCCCCTGATCATCATCATGTTGACTTTCTTCAGCTGCGATGGGAGGAACATATGAATTCACAAAATACGCATCTGCCAATTTGCGAGAGAAGAACGATACTTACAACACCGCAATTGGAGGATTCTTGGCCGGATCAGTTCTGGGATTAAGATGTGGGCTCTGAAATAATTTTTCAGCGGTAAATTAATGCTAATTCATCAATAGTCGGAACAACTCCTGCGGTTCTTGGATTTGGTACATTAGCGGCGGTTGTGCTTAGTGCATTCGATTATACCGGCGGTGCCATAACGGGATATAAGAGAGATCCAAATGTCGATGAATTTGAGCGCAAGGAATTCTTGAGGAAGAATCGAAGGATACCTGTTGAACAGACTGTAGCGGAATTGGGAGAGGGAAGAGGTATGTTTTTCTACTCATCTGGAAGGGCATCCAACTAATCACTTGAAGGCATATACGGACCAGGTTATGATGAGAGAAGAAGGGAGAGAATCAAGGAGAGATATGGTATTGAAGTACCAGCTAGATCCTAAAGGGCCTTGTATTCATAATTCGGAGGCCTCAAACAACGATGTACATAGGTTTAGGGCTTGCAAATCACTTTAGAGTTACAGCTCTTTGAAACTTGAAGACCTGCCTTCCAGGCTTACGGGCTGATGGCGACTTCATGATACTGTCCAGCTCAACATCATAACTACTGAGAGGGGATTCACAACACCCCAATGCATGAGCGAGCAGTTTCGAGGGTTCACTTTTTGCAGGAGGCAGCACAATCGGCACAGATAAAAAAATTCATCGACGACGAGAAGCTTTATCAACACCCGAGTGCACAAAAATTCATTATAATTCTTAAATTAGCCACAATTTGAAACTTGACCATCATAAGCTCTAGGTTACCTTCTGATCTGTAATCACGTGTGTGATGAATTATTGAACTACTGCCGGCAAATATTAACTGTTGATTTAACCCCGCAATAATATGCTGTGGCCCTCAACCATCCCCTCATTGATCGACCTTTTGAGAAGCAAAGCATACTTATAGACTCAGTATTTCCTACAAATTTGCAGACCTTCTATCTTTACCAAAAAAATAAAGCACGATTCGCAACCTCTCATATACCTTCACTACAAATTTTGAGATCACTGTAAGGTTCTACGGCTTCGGTACCATAAGTGGTGTGCTAGAAACATCAAGTCATCTGCCTCCACCCCTTCAAACAACTGGTGAAATCAGTTGACCCAATTACGGTGGCAAATCAAAACATTAGAAATAACAAATCTTGTTTGCTTGCGGCGAGAAGACCTGTCATATAGCATTACAGTAGTTTCCTCTGTACAATAAAGCTTTTAATACAATGGAGAAGACAATGCCCGCTGTTCGTGCTCCGTTCAATCAACCAACAGAATCGTCTCAGGATGTGAAAGAACGATTCTATCGACACTTTCAAGAAGAGGTGACAGGGAAGTCGATTACCACTCGACTAATTGAATTGAAAATACTAACATTTTGACAGACCTTCAACAGCGTATTAGCCAGCTTGGGAATCTCTCTTTAGTTGGAGGAGAAAGGCAAGATGCTACAGACCACTGCCTTGCCAGTATTACAAGGCTATCTAACGAAGTTGCCGATGCTACGGAATACCTTCCAGCATATGACCAGAGAACTTATTCGCAGGCAAGCATTTTCTGGAAGCGTGATGATGCATATCCTGTACTAATGATGACCAGGCAATCAAAGGTCTCTCGGAGAACCTTCAAGAAGTGAAAGCCAAGGTTGCACCAAGAACTAGATTCCGGTTTACTTCAAGCAAGAACAGTTCCGCTGTTTCTATCAATGATGCCGCTCAGCTAGCTCAGGAAAGTCTTAGTGCTACTTTGAAGGCTTCTATATTGTCGTCTACTGAATCATCACTGGCCACGACGCCAGCTAATTTGATGACACCACCCGGCGAGGAAAGTGCTAGAGATACTGTTGGAGATTTGCCTTCATTCTCAAAAAATTACAATGCCGAAATGGCCACTGCCTCGGGTCCAATTCGAAAGCCTAGTTTCTCAGAAGCAAGCACCATCAACATTACAGGTCACACTGGTCTTCACATCATCCTACCCTCCTCAGCATCCCGTGCAACTTCATCTGGTGCCATAACAAAACTCAATGGGTGCATTGTTGACATGTCAGTCCCAACGGCTAATGGTGCTCCTTTTGCTGGGCTTTCCTTGAAGAACATCAAGCATTCTTTGGTCATAGCTGGGCATGTTGCGGGGGCAGCACATATTACCGGCATCGAGGATAGTATAATCGTCGTCACGTCAAGACAAGTCAGAATGCATGATTGCAAAAATGTTGACATATACCTGCATTGTGCTAGCCGGCCCATCATTGAAGACTGTAGCAATGTGAGGTTCTCACCTATCCCGAATTCTCAGGTAAGTTTGGTCATAGGGTTTACTCATTACAGCACACTGACAATATATGTAGAACGTTACAGATGAAACGGTCAAGAATCAATGGGATCAGGTTGACGACTTCAAATGGCTTAAAGCAGAGCATAGTCCGAACTGGAGCATCTTACCAGAAGAGGAGAGATTGAGAGAGGAAATTTGGACAGATGTCGTACCCGGAGGACCCGGAGTTGGACTTGATGATATCCTGAAGAAGATTGGGCTCACTGGACGATAATTACCATTAATTACCTCGAAGTACGTAGTCTTTTGATGCAGATTGGCCAGTGATGGAGATGCAATGAAAATTCAGGTAATGGGATAGCTGAGCAATAACAAGTTTCTTTTTTGATTTTATATTTTTGATATTGTATGTAATCCATGATAGCATTGCACCTCAATAACGAGATGTGCATTTTGCTCTACACGAGCCTCAACTCATTGCAAGACTCTTGGACGAATGAAGCGCCATTCAAAGTCCTCGGCCCACGATAATGCTCCAAAATAACCTCTTCAATCTTGAAGGGGCTTAATCTAGCGTACCTCACAAGGTGTTCTATGATCCATTGAGCTGAGCACCCGATTGGGCTCTTTATGCCTCATTCTTCATGATACATGTTCCTCGACATAAGGGTAACGTTCGCGTATGTTTTGTCTCTTTTCCTCTTTCATGCTATCCATGCCTTCAAGTTTCCATTTTATCTCCTGATCCTCTCTCTTCTCGCTCTTTCTTCATATTCAATCCTATTTTCATCAACAGATTCAACACCTCTTTCTGCTGTGCAATCTTCTCCTCGCACTCTCTTATCTCCTCCTCCTGGTCTTCAATAGTCCTATGCATATCTGGCATGCTCTTTACACCCACTCTTGCCTTTTGTAATTTATGTTTGATGCCATCGGTCGCAGCATAAATATCTTTGATGTTCAATGGCCCCGTGCTGTTTGCATTGAATGAAGGAGTCGCGGCCGGCGGGGAAGCTGCGGACGGATTGCTTGGAGAGAAGTTTTGAAGACGAGAAATTGTTTCGCAAAGAACGGGGATTGTGTCGATATAATCTGCGGTGAGGCCCTCAGGGAGAATCATCGTCGGTGGGATTTGAGATGGTGTGGCTTGAGATGGAGTAGTCGTCATCTTTACTAAATCCACGAACGTAGAGCTGACAAGCTATCGATCGAATCGTTGAGGAAAGTTAAAAATGTCTGGACCCGAGTCGAAGATTCTCCAGTATCTTCAAAGCTTCAAAGCTTCAAGTGTATCCCGACGTGTGTGTATGTGTTATTGATTGGATGTGAAGAGGTCCGATTAGTCCTTGTGCTAGCTAAGAAGAGCAAGGCAGGTTCGCTCTTATCGCGGCGGTTTCACAAATACGGCGAGACGGCTTTGCACTGGAGGGGCCTAAAATCCATCACCCCACCACAAGCGCAAAAAAGCTTCTTGGAGTTATCTCTCAACAATTCACTTGTTTACTTCTGAAGCCATTCAAAATCTTCATTGTACATACCTAGGTACCTGGGATTTATCAATACATCGATCGATTTGAATTTGTCTTTTCTCTTGTAAGTTGATATCAAGTCCTCGATATCCATTTCTTTCTCTTAGAAAGAGATTCGGTCATCAAGGCTCTTTGTTTGGTGGTACCGAAGCTGGAGCTGATATAGCCTGTATTTACTAGATTCGAAACATTTCATTTCGCCAAAATGGTCCAAGTCGAAAATAAAGCTGTCCTGAGTATGTCAAAAGATTCCACGTATCCTCAATCTATCGATATATCTATCCATTGCCCGAAAGGACTCTGTTGATTCACTCTATCCATTTGGCATGTACATATTGCGACTTGCCCGCAATGCCTCGAACCTCCATTCCAACAGTTCAGCTCAATACTGAGAAATTGTTACCCCCTTTACCTCGTACAAAGAAAAGACCAGATTACATTCTTGCACTATTTTATATACTTGTATATCTTGAAGTCTCATGGCTAATTGTAATGATTTGGCGCAGTTGTCATTGATGGATGGGGAGTTCCAGGTGAAAATTCACCCAAAGATGGAGATGCGATTACAAACGCCGAAACTCCAGTAATGGATGCTTTCGCCAACAATGCAGATGGATATACCAAGCTTGAGGCATCCTCCTTGGCAGTAGGACTTCCAGAGGGTCTCATGGGCAACTCGGAGGTCGGACATTTAAATATTGGTGCCGGAAGAGTTGTATGGCAGGATGTTGTCAGAATCGACCAAACAATCAAGAAGGGAGAGCTGAACAAGAATGAGGTTGTCATGAAGGCATTCAAGGCAGCCAAGGATGGCAATGGCCGCCTTCACCTTTGTGGTTTGATCTCGGATGGTGGCGTTGTAGGTACTCCCCTATCCAATCGACAGGCAAATACAGTACTTACTCGAGTGACAATAGCACGCCAAGCAAGATCACCTATACGCCCTCCTCAAAGTCGCAAAGGAGCTCGAAATTCCACATGTTTACATTCATTTCTTTGGTGATGGACGTGACACTGACCCAAAATCCGGCGCTGGTTATATGGAGGCCCTTCTTGAGAAGATCAAGGAGATTGGAATCGGTGAGGTCGCGACAGTGGTGGGCAGATTCTACGCCATGGACCGTGACAAGAGATGGGACAGAGTCGAAGTCGCATTGAGCGGTCTTTGCAACGGTGAAGGAGAGGAGAGCAGTGACCCAGTCAAGACAGTTAAGGAAAGGTACGAGAAAGGCGAGAATGATGAGTTCTTGAAGCCTATTATTCTCGGAGGGAAGGAGGCTCGTATCCAAGGTAAATGGATCAAGATTCCTAAAAAACCCCATCAACCAAACTAATGACCCCAGATAACGACCAAGTTTTCTTCTTCAACTACCGATCCGATCGTGTACGAGAAATCACCCAACTTCTTGGTGACGTTGACCGTTCGCCAAAACCAGACTTCGCCTACCCCAAGGACATCACTCTTACTACCATGACCCAGTACAAGCTCGATTACCCATTCGAAATCGCATTCAAGCCCCAACACATGGGTAATGTTTTGGCCGAGACTCTCGGTGCTCAAGGTGTCAACCAGGTTCATGTTGCCGAGACAGAGAAATACGCTCACGTTACATTCTTCTTCAACGGAGGTGTCGAGAAGGTATTCCCTCTTGAGGTCAGAGATGAATCACAAGATCTCGTACCATCAAACAAGAGCGTTGCTACTTACGATAAAGCCCCAGAAATGAGTGCTGCAGGTGTCGCCAAGCAAATGAGCAAGCGTATTTCCGAAGGAAAATTCGAGTTCGTTATGAACAACTTTGCACCTCCCGATATGGTTGGCCACACTGGTGTCTATGAAGCTGCAGTTATTGGTGTTGCTGCTACTGATAAGGCCATTGGCGAGATTTACGAGACTTGCAAAAAGGAGGGTTATGTTCTTTTCATCACCTCTGATCACGGGTAGGTCTTCTG